AATATAAACGAGTACCTCCCACACGGATCACTCTTTTAGAGGTGAAAATGTTTACTGAAAAGAAGAGCAGGCCTGATATCGTCTATGTAGCAGTTTGATACTTATCTTCCAATAGTCAATCTACATTTCTTCCACTAAAAATCAGGCTTTAAATGAGCATTTGGCCACCCAGATAAAGCCTGCTTCTTGTAGGCTGAGAGATGGAGAGAAATGGAGAAGCACAGGACTTGGACCACTAATGAAAATCCTAGACTGATGAAGGCAGTGCTGCCTGGCATCCCAGGATCGCCCACCTATCTCTTGTCTTATCTGTGAGAGACAAAGAAAATCATACAATTTTTTCTCCCCAACCTCAGAAGTCTTGCAATATCTTTGAATGGGCTCTGCAATTCATTCAATTAGAGACACGTCCTATGTTTTAGAATTTAACTCCACTATTGCCTAACATTTATGATCATAGATTAACCTGGAGTACTTGTTAGAATTCAAGCTCCCAGATCTTTCTCCTAGAGGTTTTGATTCTTTAGAATAAAGAAGTGCCTGTGTCTGTGCTTTTAATAAACAACCAAGTAACATATTATTTGTTCACCTTTGAAAATATTTCTTTAATTATAGTTACCAAAAGTATTCGTGTGTTTTAACCCACTAACCAACCAAAGAACGAAAGGGTATTTTAATAAAGATAATATTATTTATTGATTGATTGAAATATTTATGATAGCAAATTACATTAGGCTTTATATTATCAAATACAATTAAGATAGTTTTTCGACTGTCATTGATAATTTAATATAGAGAATAAAAATCTTTCAATCACAAACTCTTAGAACTGGAAAAATTCTTCAACATCCTGTATTCCATCTTGTATACCATAGAAAGCTTTCTCTGGTCATCTGGGAATTTAAAGCTCTGACTGAGAAGACTCCAATTGCTTGTAGAATCCACCACAAAATAGGCTTGCAATAGGAGACACAGGCATGTGTAGCTCTGGCAAAGTTAGCATTCACCATAATGACTAAAATCAAATTTTCCACTAAAATCTCTGTAAAGAAAGAAAAACACAGAGAAAGGAAAAGAAATTATTAAAATAACGTTTAAAATTGTCTGAGTATTGCACTAAGAGCTTCTCAATGAGGACGATGTGAATATAGAAGAAGAGAGGCTGTGCTCCACTTCCACAGGCTTCTGGGCCCCACTCCCCAGGCCTGCGCATATCCTCCCCCGATCTGGGCTGCTTGACTCTCCCTACATGCTCAGTCCTGACTCAGTCTTGGACCCCGCCCAGACGTGAGACAGGAGAGGGTTAGAGATTGTCTTAGTGGTTCTCCAGAAGTAGAAGCCAGTTTGGGGATTAAATGAGGGAAACATCTGTGAGAGAAAATGGGGTGGCAGAAAGGTCGGCCAAACTTTAGACTGCAGCCTCCTACAGAGTGAAAGATACAGGAAGGGAAGTTGGGTGGAAGTGTCCTAGAAGGCTCTGATCTCTAAAGAAGGTTTGGAGTCTGTCATGGAATTCAGAGACAAAGTGGACCATCAGAGGAGTCCTTTCCTAGCATGAATGGGCCCATTGTGGTGGATTCAGAGTTCTGTAGTTAGTAAGGTTTTTTGCTCATTTATGCTCCCTGTAGCTTGGAGCTACGTCACCGAGATTATCATTTAGCATCTGGACTTGGGAAATACATTTTATTGGTCACCAGGCTGCGTTAGTAAGTCATAATAACTAAATTAAATTAATTGATTTATACATTTGTGGAATATCCTGCAGAGTTATAATGAGAGGTCAAATACAAAACTACTTTTAGAAATGAGAACTTAAGGGATAGGTACAAGTGTGTTCCTGTGGCTTTTACACAGATAGTATAGTTATTTTCCATATATACTGTGCCTAAGCTATCAGAAACATGGATGTTCCTATCATATTGTGATGGTTTTTTTCATTATTTTGGAAGAGCCAATATACAATTTTGTGTCCTTACGACTTTTGACTGCAGAAAACGCATGGATTGGGATAAGTTTGGCCGTTGGTTGCGCAGATTGGATTCCATTCTCTGGTGCAAAAAGGTAATCGATCTTTATACACGTTACAGTCCGGCGGCTAAACATAAAGACATAACATAAAATTTATCAGATAATAAACTTTTTGAGTAAAATATTCTTTATTCTTAACACATCATATCATGCATCAAAGTGGAATAAATATATTCTATATTGAGGTTTAAAAATAAACATCAAGGTACCCACAACCCACTTAGACATAAAATATTATTGATATATTTTTACAAACTCAATATTATTTTTAAAAAACATACAAATGGTAGAATGTATTTTTATAATTTAGCCACTCTGCCCCCACTTCTCCTCATACCTGGGTCAGATTTCTCCATTATTTCATACCACAAGAAATCATAAAAATGAATTTTTTATAATTCCCTTGTCTTGCTCAATAGTTTCACTACTGGATAATCTGATTTCAGATAATCACCACATATGCATGTATTTATATATGCAATTTTTGCATATGTGTATATAATCATATAGATATATATGTAATTTGTTTAGTGATGATAGTGTTGATAATTTACATAAATAAACAATATCTTATATATTCTTACAAGACCTGCTTTTTAAACGTCTTTGTAATCTTTATCTGTTCAGGTGCTTAGAACTATAGTTCGTTTATTTCACCTCTATATAATATTCCACTCCACGAATGTATGAAAATTATTATTTTACCCATCTTTAAGTGGAAAATTGTTTTTTTTAGTCTTCTTATTTTTCTAGGATAAAAAATTCTACCTTAAACACCCCTTAACCCATATCAGATGCTTGTATATAACAAGATTTATGCCTAATAATGGAATTATTGAATAATGAGATATTTTTACCTTGTCTATAATGCCAAATGATTTTTATATGGCTGGCAAGATTCTATTTCTTGAACTTAGTATAATAATAACACAGTTTTTTGTTGTTTTCTGTTTTGACTTTTTGAAGGATCATTCTGGTGTACATTTTGTTTGATGAAATTTGCTATTAAAACTTACAATATAAAATAATTACTAGTTTATCTTTTTCACTTCCCACATTAATCCGTATTAACTTACTGTTCTTTGCAAGTTTGCTGACGGTAAAAAAGAAGTTTCTGCAACCAAAACACAAAAGAAAAATTAAAAATAAGAAGAATAAGAGGGGAAAACAATCAGAGTCTCTGGTGGAAGTATCCACATCTTTTAGTAGCCAGATACTAGGCAAATTACTACTCAAGACCCTACAAATAATGAGGAGAGCCTATGTGGCAATATCAAAACAATAAGGTCACAAAAGAACTCCAAATCTGGAAACATAATTCCAAATTAACCTCACTCCGTGAAAAACAATTTTATGTATTCTTTAATAATCACCAAACCCTCCTTTTTTTTTCATTTCTATAGAGAGACATCCTAGTCAGAGAAGACAATGCCTTGCTTAAAGCCATTTATTATACCTTGCATAAAGTCACTTAATATGAAGAAATTAATTACTAGTTAATTAATTAGTACTCAGGTCCAATACCAGGAATCTATCCAATACCTTAAAGCTACTTTACTCTGAAATTCATGGGCCATCTTATGCTTTAAAGAATATAAATTATCAGCAGAGGGATCAGTGAGTTCTGTCTTTACACAAAGCCTTGACTTTAGAGGACTCAGAGCCGGCAAACAACAAGTTAGATTGTCAAAGAACTCCAGATCTAGGAGACATTATTACTCCCCACACTTTGCATTTAGCAATCATGGAACCTGACCTCCAAAAAGGAAAAAAAAATTAGGTAGATATCTTTAGTCATAGACAGACAAAAAGCTAAGTTCCACTGCTCATTCTAACCCACCTTTCTGTCTCCATCTCTCTAAGGTGGGAAATGAGAAAAAGCAATCCACCGATGCAATTTTAAAAAGAGTATTTGTAACATGTGCTGTTTCATTTCGGCAGTTTAAGTATTACAAACCTGATAAAACAAGCTCTTCAACTCCTAGAAAATAGCAGTTGTTCCCCGCATTTTCTAAGATATGTGAAATGCTTCATCCAGCACTGAAAAATTTACTCACCAGAATATAGGGGAAATAGCAAAGCAATGATGAAAATAGCTTTCATCCATGATGAGAAGAAAGACATTTTGTCAAGTCTGTAGAAGAAACCCATAGGACCGTTTATAACACATGGCACAGGGACAAATTGCCCATTTCCAAATGAAAGTTTCTCACAGGTAAAGGAACTGCTCCACTCCCCTAGATTCCTAGTTATAGTGGACTATTCCCTTTTTTCTTCCTCCAACTCTCAGCATCAAGGCAGGCTTCTTAGAGACTTGAGAGAAACACTAAGACAAGTCCTCCTTGCACATTAAGAAAGAGCTGTTTCCTCTCTCAACCCTTTGGCTCAGCCCACAAGGAGCCTGGCTGCATTTAAGGAAATATGCACTTTGGAATCTCAGTTTTTCCTCAGAAAATAGAAACAGCTATTTCAGGAAGGTCTACTTTGGAGCTGTCCTCACAGCAATGCCATACACCAGGGCTACCTCATAGATTCCCCACCTGACTTACCTGACACGGAGAAGGCAGTGGAGAGCGATGTCTATACCTCTACAGGCTGTGCTGACTTTGTTCACCTCTTCTTCCCAACTACTTCCACCCAGCTGAGGAGTTTCCTTTATGGATCTGTTGGTGAAGAGCTTTATGGGGGTAAGAGAGATGGCTCACAGCAGATAAGATACGGAGGTATTCTGTGTTCCACCTGGAGGCTGTCAAGTAACTCGGGAGAGATGCCTCACAAGTAATTATCAATAGATATTCCCTCTGGAGGAGCTTCGGGATAGTTTGATCTGATGTACCCAGATGTATGGGGAAGGAGGAAGGTAATAACAGTGCTGTGAAACACTTACAGAAGAGATATGAAAGCTTTATAAGCTACTGAGTAGAGAGGAAAGGAGAATCAAAACAAGAGAGAGAAGAATGAGTTTTGAGAACTGTAATTAGATACATAACTAGACCTTTAGTATTTTGCAACACTAGAAGCACATTAGACTCAACTGGAGACTTGATTTTTATTAACTTTTTGTTTTGAGATAACTGGACATTCTCATCAAGCTGTAAGTACTAATGCAGAGAGTTCTCATGTTCCTTTCAACCAATGCCCCCCAGTGAGAACATCTTGTAAAACTATGGTACAAACTCACAACCTGGAATGTTCATAAAGCTCCCAGATGAGTGTTGGGGCAGCCAGCTTTGGGATTCCGGACTAGACGACAGCCTGTAAATATTAAGAACAGGAGAGAAAGAAGGCTCCAGAGTGAAATTGAGATCCCCTGGGACAGTGCCCTAAATTATATGTTGAATAATTTGACATTTACCTCAAAGTCAAGTGGGGAACCCTGTAGGGTTTGAAGTAGGAGGAGTTTTAATCAGAGCTATTTAACTAACCTGCTCCACAGCCTGACTCAGTGGAAAGAGCTTTGGCAGACGAAAGTCCTGAGTTCAAATCCCATCTACCACTAAGTAACCTTAACACAATATTCAGATTTTGTCATCCACAATATCCTAACTTTAAACGTGAGCATAATAACTTCTGTCTCATAGATTTGTCATAAATATTAGGTATAAAATATTAAAATGGCCTGCACTTAAGTTGTCTGTTAGACTTACATTTGTCACTTTAATCTAACTTGCCTTTTTTGTCAGAGCAGAAAGCCAAGATTTAGAAAAGAACCTTTGAGTCTAGCACCATTTCGTGCCAATTGAATGAAAGGAAACAAATTCTGATAGGTGCAAAAAGTTTTCCTTTATTATAGTAAAGTGCTGTTATACTTACATTAGCTCTTTGAAATACTTACGTAGACACTGACAAAAACATTTCTGCAGGCAAATCCTTCTGGCTCATGACATTGCAGGGAAAATTTAACTGAAGTTTAGAGTTGAAGTTATGGCGAAGTCCTTATGTCCCAGGCACTGGACTTTTTCTCTTATATGTATTCATTAGCAGAGGTTAAGAGCAGGAGACACTGCCTATGATGAACAGGTCACAAGTTTTTTAAATTAACCACTAAAGGGATTGTTAGAAGTATGGATTATTTGATGCATATCTATCTTTCCAGAAAATGTTTAATAGCATAAATATTTATATATATGCACAAATGTTCAGATATTTAACATACAACTATACTGAAATCATACACAAATATATACAAATGTATATATACACAGATATATGCATGTATGTATGCATGTGTATATATATGTGCATACATGTGTGTACATATGTATGCATGTCTATGTATGTTTCTATATATACATATATGTATGAACAAATATATATGTAATAACACACATATTATATATGCAATTATATTTTACCATGATATATACACAAATATAGGTAGATACATAGTATATGGATATATAGATATGCACATATATACACATATATCTCTCTATATAAATTGTCTAGGTGAACTCTATATGTCACCACAAGCATCCTTATAAAAGAGAGACAGAAGGAGATTTGACGTAGACACACAAAGAAGGTGGAGCTGAGAGAGATTTGAAGAGGCTGGCCTTAAGATAGAAGACAGATAGATAGAAATAGAGATAGAAGAATAAAATCAAAATATTTCTCATAACTAGCTTTTTTCATTTAACAGTCAATGGTATATCTTCATATAAGTATATACAAATATACATAATTCCTTTTAAAGGAATACAAGGTGGAATATAAGATATTCTAAATTCTTTCCAACCTTAAGGTTTTAATCTTTTAATAAGGTGTGAACTTTAGTTCAATGTTCACTGTTTGACTATTCCTGTTCAATTGTTCCAGCACCATTTGTTGAGAAGACTATACTTCCTGCATCAAATTGTTTTGCACCAATATTTCTGAGTTCTCTATTCTGTACCACTGATCTATATATCTAACTCTCCAGTAATACCACACTGTCTTAATTACTGTAGCTACAGAGTAAGACTTAAAATTGGGTTTTGTGGTCCAATTTTATCCTTTTGCTTGTAGACATCCAGTTTTCCCAGCACCATTTGTTGAAGAGGCTATCCTTTTCCTATTGTGTATTTTTATGATTATAAAAATAATAAAGAGAGCTACTAGAGTGGCTATTAAAAAGGTATGTAATAACAATTGTTGGTGAGGATGTAAAGGAAATGGAATCCTCATACATTACTGGTGGGAATGTAAGAAGGTACAGCCACTTTGGAAAGTGGATTGATAGGTTCTTAAAAAATTCAACAAAAACCTACCATATGAACCATCCACTCTCCTTCTAGATGTTTACCCAAGAAAAATGACAACATAGGTCCATAAAAAGACCTGTACAGTAAAATTCATAGCATCATTTTTCTTAATAGCCAAAAAGCGGTAACAATCCCAATGCCTATAACTAGTGAATAAATAAAATGTGGCCTATCGATACAACATGGAATACTATTAAACATTAAAAAGTAATGAACTACTGATATATGCTACAGTGTGAATGAACCACAAAATATGTTAAGCGAAAGAAGCAGATACAAAAAAAATATTGTTTTGTTCTCTTTATATAAAATGTCCAGAGAAGGCAAAACAAGAGGAATAGAATGTAGATGAGTGGTTGTCTGGGGTTGGGGGTGGGAAGACAGCATGACCTCCCAAGAGCAAGAAGGACATTTTTTGGGTAATGTAAACACTCTAAATTCGAATTGTGGTGATGGTCGCTTTTCTCGCTATATATGTGTGTATATATTATATTTTTTAAATTATTATATTATACCTAAAACTCATTACTTTTTATGTAGATATCCCAATAAACTAGTTTTTTAAAAGAATAAAATGTCAAGTTTTCTATCCAAACTCCTTTTCATTACCAAAATGTCAGATTTAAAATATTAAGTTCCCTACGTCTCATTTTCATTGTGTCTAAAATTTAGAGCTGGTGTCCAGCCAACAAGATCCTTAGAAGAACTGTTAGATAACATGTGGGAAGCTGTTTCACAGAGCTTTTGTGGAGAAGAGTCATGCAATGAAGGAGCATTTCCATTCATTAATGGATAATAACTTTCATCAGTACATTTAAATTCCTAGAGAACAATGGTTATCTCTGCTTTTGTTTACCACCTTCCTTCTAGCATCTGACATAGGGCCTGACACATACTAGGCCGTTAATTATGTGGAAATAAAAAAAAAGAATACATAAATGAATATACCAGTGTTCACTGCAGAATTTTTTTATAAAGTCATCTACAAAAAAAAGGGGATGCAATTGGCCGAAAACATGTTTATAATGTTGTTCTACAAATTAACATTCTAACAGATACTTTCTGAGGGATGTTAGAGATGCTACATGATTTAATTGCCCCCACACTGATTACTTTTTAGATATAAAAGCATTTATTGAAAAGAGTGGCATGCCCAGCATAGCACATGTCACAGGTTTCTAGCTGCCATCCAACTGTCAATCTATACTTCTGCCATTACATTCAAGGTTTGAAGAGGCCTTTGGACACACAGCTAAAGCCTGTTTCTTATGGCTGGATGGTGGAGACTAATGGAGAAACATCTGACTTGGACCAAATAAAAGAAGTCCTAAGTCAATGAAGGCATTGTCTCCTGCCATCCCAGGACCCCCCCCACCTCTCAACTGATTTGTGACCAACAATGAAAACCATATGACAAATTTTTCCCAAATATCATAAATCTTGTATTATCTTTCTATAGATTCTGTAATTCATTCAATTATAGACATATCCTAGGTCTTAGAGTCCAAGTCAATACTACCTAAGATCCATGATCATAATATTAATCTGGGGTGTTAGATTTTCAATTTCTCAGAAACCTCACTTGGAGGTTCTAAATCTTTAGAATAGAGAGAATCCAAGTTATTGGTACTTTTTGAACACCTAAGTAATGTAATATTTTGTCACTGTGGGAAAATATCTCTTCAGTTATAGGGATCAGAAATATGGATATGTTTTAACCCATTACCTAACCAAATAAACAAGGGCATTTTAATAAATATAATGCCATTTAACATTTTATCAAGCAAAATATTTAGGTTTTTAAATTGTGTTAGGTTTTACATTATTAAACATGTAATTCAGATACTGGTTTTTCAAAGTCATTGAAGAATTGAACATAGAGAATAAAAATACTGAAATCATGGATCTTAAAGTTGGAAAGAACTTGGAATATCCTTTATTTCACCTTGTGTTCTATAGGATTCACCTGGTCTTTTAAGAATGGAAGACTCTGTGAAAATCCATTGTCTGTAGAATCCACTGCAAGATGGGATCACAATAAAAGCCACAGGGATGTGCAGCTTCGGCAAAAAGTCAGCAGTTACCATAATGAGCAAAAGTAGATTTGCCACCATTTTCTCTGTAGAAAGAGTCAGAGAGAAAAAAACAATTACTGAAAGAACACATTAAACTCTCCGAGCAGTGCACAAAATGCTTCCAAATGAGGAAGATTTGAACTTGGGACATAACCGTGAGGCTGTACTCCACTTCCACAAGTAGCTGGACCCCACCCGCTCCCCAGCCCTGCTAATGTCCTCTCCCTACTGTGCGGCCAGGCTACTTGATCCTTTCTGCTAGCTCAGTCCTGACTCAGTCTTCAGACTAGATAGAAGAAAGGACGGCATTAGGGATTGTGTTATTCCAGATCTTCCAAGAGCCAGATACAGTTTTGAGAGTAAATGGGCAAAGACTTTATGAGAGTGAACACATGTGAAAGAAAATGGAAAGTGATGCAGAAAAGACTGGCAAAGACTTAGACCACAAACTCCTTCAGAGTGAAGGAGAAAGGGAAGGGAATTTGGGTCGTGGTGTCCTAGACTGCTCTGCACTCTAAGGAAGGTGTGAAAGGCCATCATGATATCAGG